ATATATATATATATATATATATATTAAGGGTGGAGCCGAACCCGAATACGGTATTCGGAAAGGCACGAATAGCGTGTTTTTACGAATACTTATTTCGAACAAATACTTGAAAAATTATTTGTATTCGGGAGCAAGAAAAACACTATATCAAAAAGCAGCGTTTCCTCATGAGACCACAGTGCATGCCCGCGTGAGTGAGTGAGAGAGAGAGAGAGAGAGAGAGAGAGAGAGAGAGAGAGAGAGAGAGAGAGAGAGAGAGAGAGCGAGAGAGAGAGAGAGAGAGAGAGCGAGCGAGTGAGACGCTCAGTCGGAGGGCGGGGCGGAGGTGTGTGGCACAATCTTCTCCACAGATACAGACAGAGAAGGCTCGGCTGAGCGAAAAAAATTCTTATCTGCATCACTATTTTTGTTAAATAGATTTTTGTACCTTAATTGGGTTCCAGATGCAGTTTATAAACTTGTAGCGGAGTTTGATCGGGATCGGGAAGTTTGCAATCGGGTGCTCTCTGTTTACGCAACGTTAGCTCTGTTAGCGCGGTAATTTAGACAATAGACTGTTGACAGAGTAACATTAACGTTCGTTTATAAAGGTTAAAATGATGCTTGTGCTGTTGTGTCGAATAGTATGCACTTATGGGAGTTATACGGTACGTCTACATTACTGTCTTTTGCAGACAGCAAGATATATGCTATAGGCTAGTTAACCTTAGCATAGCTTCCCGTCACTTTTTATTAACTTGAAACTCCTCAAATACATTTGGGCACCCGAATAGAAAAAGAGTGAGACTGCTTCTGAGCCATATCTTGGTCCTCCACCAGTCAAAAAAAAAAAAAAAACATGTTCTTTGTGGAAGAATTGTACAGTCAGTGGTGCTGCAGATAAAACAAACTGATACAGTAACGTTATAATGTGTGCAAAAGTGAAATCGGCAGAGATATTAAACATCTGTCAACATCTCCTATGCATAATCATTCATTTCTTTTCGGCTAAGTTCCTTTATCAATCTGGGGTTGCCACAGTGGAATGAACCACCAATTTATCCAGCATATGATTTACGCAGTGGCTGCCCTTCCAGCTGCTACCCAGCACTGGGAAACATCCATACACTCTTTCACACACACACAATAGGGACAATTTAGCTTACCCAATTCACCTGTATTGCATGTGTTTGGACTGTGGGGGAAACCGGAGCACCCGGAGGAAACCCACGCCAACATGGGGAGAACCCAGTCATGGCTCGAACCAGCAACCTACTTGCTGTGAGGCGACAGTGGTACTCACTGTGCCACTGCGCAACCTTCTATGTAATGTATTATCACATGCACTAAAAGCATCCTCTCCTGATACTGTCTGTGAACCCCCCACAAGCATCAATCCCCTCAATCAGCACAGCTATGTTCTGCTAAATCCTCCACAAGCACCAAACCATCAACACAGCCACATTCTGCCCCAGCAAGTCAGTTTCAAACATAAAAAAACAAAAAAAAAAAAAAAACTTTGTGTCTGTTTTGTGGCAGGCAGATGACAATAGCAGGGCTGTATCTTTTAGTATTATATAGAATACTTTTGTTCTGCCAGATCTCCCAGGCAGGGGTTTATTTAGATTTATTTAGTTAATATTAGTTTTTGGAATTCTGTGCATTGGAAAGAAGTTCTTTCAGAAGAAGAACAGTTTTTTTAAATATTATTTGTTTTTATTCTGTCTATTCAGTGTCCTTCAACAAGAACGGTGGTGTGGGGTTCATAATATTCACAATGGTATTTTATTAGTTGTTGGTTTAACCATGGATGAGATAATGGCTTCTATGTTATTTTCTTTTCAATGACATTTCTTGTCACATGTTTAAAAACAACAACCAATATTGCATGTCTATAATTTATATAATGGGTATAATTAAACAATACTTTCACTATAATGTAAATTAGAAGTGTAATAGAAAAAATATATATTTTTGCGCCATTTTGAATTTTACTCGAATACAAATACAAATACAAATACTTTTCCCCCCTCAACAAATACAAATACAAATACAAATACCGGCTGCTCCGCACATCCCTAATATATATATATATATATATATATATATATATATTATTAATATTAAAAGACTAAAACTTGTCATTTTGGCTATTCAAGGGTAAAATTAATGTAAACGCAAGACAAATACTATTTAAATTCAAAATAAAATTCATTATTAGAATTTTTTTTTAACTTGTAACACAGATTTCCTCATGTAAACAACATACCCACAATAAACCATCAAGATCCTGGCTTGACAGCCATATTTAATACAGAAATTAAAACACAGGCATGTTAATGCCATTTAAATATCAAAAAATCAATGCCAATAAAGAAAACATTGATTTCCATGTTGGATTCTAAGTGGACTGCAAAAAAATGCCAAAATACAGGCATTGCAGATATGGAAAATTATAATAATAACAACAATAAAGTATTGAAAATCTGTGCATGCCCTTGAATAGGTTTACCAACTCCCATTCTATAAAAGCACAAAAGCCATATATAGGAAATAACGAGTAAAATTAAATTAATAAATTAAATTAAATTTATTAAATTAAATTTAAAAACTAAATTTTTATTTATTTATTATTAAAATAAAACTATAATCCACACTGAAAATGTGGGTGCCTGTGTGTTTTGAGCAAGCCTAATAAATAATGAACATAACAAAAACTGCCTGCTGACACACACAGTAAATATTGATTATTAAAATAAAGATAAATAATAAAACCAATGTGTCAGAGACCCTAAAAAAACGTTTAACTCAACAATGAAACATCAAACGTAGCAAAAAGATTTTACATTGTCAATCAAATGAACTTAAACAATTAAAAAATGCAACAAATATTTGACCCGAACTACAAAACTAAATGTAAAAAAAAAAGTTGCTTAAGTTGCACACTAGTTTGGTCATGTATAAATATCATTATATTAACCATATTGTATAAATATTATTGTCACTATAAGCCTACATCATGCTGAGGATCAAAAACACAATGTCATGATATCTCATGCGATTGTATTCTGACCGACTGCCTCTTAAAATGCATGACTGAAGCTCCTCATAGAGCTTGAGAAGCAGAAATTCTTTATAATTTGTAAAATAAAGACTTGCAGGTTAAGGAAACAGCTTCAGAGGAAGTCTCAGATTAAAAGTTAAAAAAGTATATTTATATGGACAGATATGTAACTAAATAGAATAGACAGGAATATATTGATATGTGCCCCACAAGACGTTTGTGCAGACGCAAAAGCCTGCTCTCCCGCGGCGCGGAGCTGCGCGCAAGAAACAGGCATGACTCTCGGCTATTTTGACAAATACACACCTATGTTACACAGAGCCCAACATGGAAGTTTGTGATTGGGTCAGCCCAATGTCAATAAAGAAAAGAACCAATGGGCTGCAGATTATGTCACACGGCCGCTCTGTCTGGAAAAGAAGCATGACAGACAGCTCACAGCACCGTCAATCACTGAGGCAGAAAAACATGACAGTCTGCTTTTATGGGCGTGTTTTATGGGGCGATCAGATCATAAAAAGATGATCAGCCCGGTCCAAAAAGTATGTCAAAACAGCCGGAAACTGTCCGGCGTCTGCCCCTGGCCACAACAGGAAAAAAATTCATTTAAAAAATGCGTTAATTTTTTTTTACGCATTAATTATTTCAAATTAATCGCATGAGTTAACACGTTAATTTTGACAGCGCTAATATATATATATTACTATAAAATAAAAATACTTCGATTTACGCTTTAACTTTCAACAATTATACTGTGCTTTTAATTTGACATGTTGTCAGCAAACAATTAAATATGATGCCAGCTTCAGCTAACAGTGTCTCAAACTATAAAATATAACTTTTATTTATTTATTCATTTATTTCCTTATTTTCTTCAGGGGTCACCAGAGTGGAATGAACTTATACAGCACATTTTAATGCCCTTCCAGCTGCAACCCATCACTGGGAAACACCCATAAACTCTCAATCACAGACATACACTGCAGACATTTTAGCTTACCCAATTCAACTATACAGCATGTCCTTGGACTGTGAGGGAAACCGGAGCACCCGGAGGAAACCCATGCGAACACGTGGAGATCTCCACACAGAAATGCCAACTGACCCAGCTGAGGCTCCAACCAGCAACCCTCTTGCTGTGAGGCAACAGCACTACCCAATGCACCACCCAATAATAGTTTTATTTTTAATAAAAATAATTTAATAATAGTATTTAAAAATAATAGATTTTTTCTAGTAATGCATTTTATTTTATAATAATATTTTTTTTATTTAAACCCATCTTGCAAGCTGTAAATTCCCTCTTTAAGGGACAAAGATGACAAAGGTGAATTCAGGTCAATTGGGACCCTTTTTGTCATCGAAATGGCCAAGGAAAAGTGTCCCAATTGCCCTGAATTCACCCTAAATCACCATTATTTATTTATTTATTTATTTTTTCGGGGTTTTCACCTTTATTTTTGACAGGACAGTAAAGAGAATTGACAGGAAAGCATGGGAAGCAGAGAGAGGGGAAGGATCGGCATAGGACCGCGAGGCGGAATCGAACCCGGGTCGCCGCGAGCACCGGAGTGCATGTGTCGACGCACTAACCACTACACCCCTGGCGCTGACAATCACCATTATTTTAATGAAAAATAGAACATGTTTGTTTTGCTATTAATTGTCAAACAATAAAAAAAACTTTCTGGTTGTCAGATAAGTGGAACATTTCCATTTTGGCCAAAAGACTAATGTAATGTAAATACAGTCAGAAAAATTAAAATGGCAGTAAATCTGGAAATAAAATGTTAAATATACTTACTTTAGCACCAGGCATGGCTTCATTTTGCTTCAGAACCACGGAGAGCTCCAGTTTGCCACTAAGGCAGCCCACCTGCACTGGTTCAAACGGTGCACTGGAAGACACAGGCTCTGGAAACTGAGGGTGAGGCTCACAAATGATTTTTGGGTTCCAACTTGGAGAAAGCTTGGGTTCAGTCTCCTTTAAATTTATAAAGAGCATATGTCTTACAGGACTTTAAAATGGTAAATAGTTACCATATTTAGTTATACAAAATAGTTCTATTTAGATTGCACAATTATAATATGATTTTTAATATTATTAAAGCACAGACAATAAACTCACTGCTTGAGTGGGGGATGATTTTAGTCCGGCACGTGCTGATTCTGAAAACTCATCCCAGAACAGAGAGGCTCCGTCCAGAGTGAGGTTTTTATGCGCAAATGTAGTGGGCTGATGGATGTTGACACTGGAGCCCTCTTCCACACTCTCATCACAGTAAACCATCCTAAATAATCACAAGATGTACAGACAGCATGTTGGTAATTCAAAAGACAACATGTCATGCTGCCAATTCGAAATGTCTTAGAGCCTACTTATTGATTCGAAGTTCCAGAGCAATGCCTGTCTTAGAATTTTCAGGAACATGCTCCATCCGCAGGACAGTATCCACAAAAGTGACTTTGACTCTTCTCAACACTAACAGAGAACAGTTAAGAGATAAAGGATAATAAATAAACAACAATCATATTAAAATAACAAATAAGAATTTAATTGTAAAACAGAAGGGGCATACCGGTCTCGATAGTCTCAGCAAATGTTTCCAGTCCCTCCAAAGGCTGAAAGCTCTCTCCCTGATCATCAGTAAGTCTTTGGCTTAAACACTCTTTGGCCAGCTGCATGCTGCTAGTCATGAAACTGGACCAGCACATGGGCTCCATGCCTGATGCTAAAAAAAACAAGTCAGCATCATGAAATAGAAATTCACCCCTTATGAATTGTCAGTAGGCATTTTAATTATACTATTGTGACTCATGCATGTTTTTATGTATTTATTTATGTACGCGTACGTTTTGTTTTTCATTTTATCTCTATTTAATCAACATTGTAACTGGATCCTCTGGTAAAATGTCAGACTTCTCCAATAATTTACTTCACTTTAATGCCTATTTGTTCCAATCGATTTCTTGCACTCAGATCCATTTACATATAATCAACAACTGATGGACTAAACTAAACCAAAATTTCATTTTTTATGATAGATTAACTTATCATAGAAAAATTTTACAGAAAAGAAAACATTTTTCTTTTATTTTTAAAAAACTAAGATGTTATTAAAAATAATATAACATTTTTACATAAGAAAATAAATAATTAAGTTAAAAAAGTACAATATAGCATGATATGAATAACATTCAATATTAAGAGCAAGATTTAGCAGCTTACACCAATGTAAGTCTTATTTTGTTGTTACGTATTCCAACTATCAGGAATAACTAAAGAACCCCAGAGAAAAAATATCAAATGGAAGAAAATTGAGCAAATAAAAAATCTGTGTATGACCTTAAAAGAATAGTTCATCCAAAAAATGAAGATTCTGTCACAATTTACTCACTCTTCACTTGTTCCAAACGTGTTTGATTTTCTTTCTTCTGGTAAACACAAAAGAAGATATTTTGAAAAATGATGAAATCTGGAAACCATTGACTTCCATAGTATTTCTAGACACTATGAATGTCAATTGTCACTGGTGGTTTCTAACAGTCTTCAAAGTATCTTTTGTGTTCAATAGAAAAAGAAACTCATAATGGGTTGCTACCCAGTAAATAAATCAAGCAAGTTTTTTTTTTTTTTTTTTTTTGCTTTAAAGTCTAATAGACTCTACAAGCAGACTAGACTAGCATCACCTAACATTCATACTAACATCTCAAAAAACTTTTGATTTCACAGTGACAATTTAATCACAAAAATGCTTGATGGGTAGTTTACTAGTATTCGCGCATTTCTTATCCATTTTGTGCATGGTATACTGCAATAGAAAAAAGGATATAACATTATCTAATATATACACATTGATTATGAAGCCACATTATTTTAAACTCACACTGGTTTTGTGGAAATGACCTGCGTTCTCAAATTCTTGTCAGTGGGTAATTCGCAAATAAATGACATTCGCATTGGTGCTTTCATGGAATGTGACACTGCCTTGACTTGTTTGTTTTTAGGTTTAGAAAGGTTTACAAATGGAATGTCAGCTAAAAATGATTTGATTTCAAAGATGATCCTACCCATTCGAGGTCTTGGTCTGAACACCATCTCCAAGCCTCTCACTTCTAGAGCGCAGTTGTCCTGAAGCAGCGAGGCCCATGGCACAGTGAGAGAAATGGCCTGAATGAAGCCCTCACTCACCTCAAATGGAGCATCCACAGACTCCAGGATCTCATTCAAGGACTAAAATCACATGAAATATACAAGTCAAAATGTAAATACATGGTTAACTAGAAGTGAATTTTTAAAGATATATTTTTGCTCTATTTTACACATGTAAACTGTTCCACACAGATCCACAGCAGTGTTTTATTAATGTATGAGTGGGTGAGTGAGCTGCTTAAACTATTAAGTAAATGATTCAGTGAATGCAGTTTTTGTGAGATTGTGTCATTCATTTGCATCATGTTTCTGTATTCATGATTGCATAAGTTCAATCTCATAACAGTATATAAGAAGCTTTAACTGTAGTATAAATCACAGTTTTATTGTCAGGGTCTTGGCCCGTTTCAATAAGGAGTTTCAGCCAACACTGAGTTAAAACCAGAACTCTCAGTTGACTTACAAAGGGGGTGAGAAACTCTGAGTTTTCAGTTTCAGATTAACTCAATTGAGTTAAGTATGTTGAACTCTAAGAAGCCTAACTGTGAGGTAAGCATATGCACCATGTCTATGAAAAGCCATTATCAATGAATATTATGATTCACCATGATAGCAACACCAAACAAAACGATGTCTGCCCACTTCAGTGTTAACACAAGTTTAATTTTGACTAGTTATTATATCACCCAATAATTTAGATGTCTTTCTTATTTTTCGAATTATAAGCCGACAGAGTAAAAAAATTCAGCAGTGGCTACTTACAGAACGAGCAAATAGATCCTTGATATAACTACCTATATGTAACATACTAATAAGAGTAGCAGTTTTTGCAATCAGTGTATGATTAAACACCATTTATACTTAAAACTGGCAGATATTTAAAAAAAGAGTCTTTTAACTCTCCCCCGCAGAGGGATAAGTCGAGATAATATATCGAGATAATATTATATAAATATAATATATAATATTTGCAATTCAGTTGAAATAACAGTTTAAAATAATAAAGTGTAAATGCTTACATTTTTATACATACTTTTATCTTTAATAAACACTTGTTATGAACTTTACATCCACTTTTAGAACATTTTCCTCATTATTACTGAAAATCAATTCTAATGTGGCATGTGATAGTAAAAGTGCGAAGAGTGTGCACAACAGAAGCTGTTATAGAGTCACAAAAAGCTTTTTGGGATGTGTTGTGTTTAACATTGTGTGACATTTGACTATTTGTAGTGATTTAAACAAGAAGAGAACACAGAATAAAACTGTGTTTAAAGAGCCCATATTATGGGTTTTTGAAAATTCCCCTCCATGTAATGTGTAACACAGCTCTAAGTGAAGTGAAGTATCCAGCTAAGGCTTAAATCTGTTAGTGTACAGTGTTTAAAACTGTTGATTCATCTATAAAAGAGTCGACTCATAGTGCTTCAAACGAGTCGCCTTGATACCGATTCATTAGGTGTTTCGCCATGACGTACGAACGAAACCAAGTTATTCACGTGCAAGCGCAAACCCGGGAGATTTCAAACCTGAGGCCCCGCCCTCTGACGCAGAAACCCAGACACACACACACACACACACACACACCCACAAACACACACACACACACACACACAAACATGCCGGTCGATTGAAGTCACACTGCAGATGGATATATTGAGTCTCTACCCAAAGATGAAACCTCAGCATTATAGCCAAGCAGTTGGAAACTACTGGAAACTTCTGGAAACTACATGCTACAAAGAATACTTCATCAGCGTTTGTTAAAGGAAGGATCAGTAAAGAGTAACTTATTGATGGACGTCAGGATGGATTTTTCTTCCTCCATTTCTCAAGTGTAAGTACGTGCGATTAAAGTTGCCTCGTTGACTCTAGCTTGCAAATGTATTTAGTTGTGATTTGTTACTTGTAACCGCGTGTACTGTATCAGGTTAACTGACTATATTCTCTTATCGCGTGCAAAGTCACGTTAAAAACGCGACGCGTGCTGCTTTGTTAACGGAGCTCCGTGGACGAGGAGTAGTTTGTGTCTGTGTGTGCGTGTGTGCGCGCTGTCGTCCGGAGGTGTGTGTGTTTGTGTGTATGTGTGTGTGTGTGTGTGCACGCGCGCGTTGTCGTCCGAGGCAGGGTGAAGTGCGTGCGTGTGTGTGTGTGTGTGTGTGTGCAATATGTGTGTGTGTGTGTGTCTGTGAAAAGAGCAGAGTGAGAAGCTAGGAGATCTCCTCAACTGTTTTTGGAGTTTTTGCTCAATAAAATAGTTAGTCGTCTGAATTTTCAAGTCCATAGTCTGTTTTTACATTGACCCACTGGCAGCTAAAATCCACGCCTACACTATCGAGCGTGTATGAACTGTGATTACTTTTATATTGCTGATTAGCTGTTGTGCATTTCACTCTCTGTCTGAAGGCAGTCGACCAATCGCAACAGACTGTCATTGGTCCAATCAGCGCAGATTAGCTTCGAGCTAAGGAGGGGTTTGGGAACAAATGAATCACTGGACGATTCATACAGGAGTCGCTGGGATAATTAGGTAAAAATAAATGCAGATTATAAGACCACGAAAGTGTTTTTGACCTTGCATGCATATTAAACTGTTGTTGGAGACCCTTACAACCAAGATATGACCCTATTTCATGTATAATATGGGCTCTTTAACAACAAAAACCTGCTTCTGACCAGATTAGGTTCACAGCTTGGTCTTGGTTTCAGTTTAGCTGGTCTCCATTACAACATTAGCTCGTTAATCAAAGTTTTAACAAAAGATAGGTGTGGAGTTATACATTACAATAAAACATTTTTGGCACAAAGGTGGAAAACTCACCCATTTGTCCAGCGGCACTTGAGCAAGTGAGCCAGTGCCTTGATAAAGATCCAGACTAAGCTGGTCCAAACTGAGCTTCTCCTGGAGGAAATTGCCAAGATATCGATGTAGCAGGTACCTGCAGGCCCGCTTCTTAATGGACTCAGAAAATGGCCATGGCATCTTGACCAGCTTGGGTTCAGATTGTACTAAAATAAAAGACAACATCCATGATATTAAAAACCATAGAGCAGTTTTCTGTAAACTGCATTAAACAATGTAGTTGAGAAGCATAGTTTGAATCAAGACGGAAAAGCTAAAGTGATAGTTCACCCAATTTCTATTTATTTATTTTTTATTTACTCACTCTGAAGTGGTTATAAACCTTTATGAGTTTCTTTTTTCTGCTGAGCACTAAATTAAATATTTTGAAAAAAAGCTGAAAACCTGTAACCATTGACTTCCACCCTAGGAAAATCAAATATTTTGAAAGCTAATGGTTTTAAGTTTCAAGTTTTCTTCAAAATAATATATCTTATTTTGTTCAACAAAAGTAACTCAAACAGGTTGGAATAAATAATAACAGAAACGTCATTTTTAAGTGAACTTTCTCTTTAAACGTAACATACAGAAAGAAAGAAAATTGCATTAGCCATATCAAGTGTCTAATATCTTTTGTTGAATAGATTAAAAATTGTTTTGTTCTGTGACTCAATATTTTCCTGAAAAAGCACCCACACTACCATTCAGAAAAGGGTTGTCGATGACAGTGACTCATATAAATACATGTTCTTACACTCGCTGACCTCCTAATGTAGACCTCCAACTGATGTGACTGCTTCAACATATTACATCTACAGAACTGACTATTCAATAACATATTTATGCAAATAGACTGGATATACAGCCTGATATCATTTACAAACGTCTGGCATTAAATCAGCCATTTAATTCCCTAAGATAAACATAGTGATGATAAGCTCAATGTAAATGCCATGCAGTTCTAGATATGGTCTGACCCCGTAATAACTCATACAGTATAATGACCACCAGTGTTTGCGCAATTCCTTTAAGGTTGGTGAGTTTGTTTGGCAGCTAACAACACCAAATCATCTAGTCACACATCACGAGAGCTAATAAAGATGACAAGTTGACTGTATGTAGCCTGGTTATTCACAACAACGATATCAAAGGTAAACAACTTACCTGTATTATAAAATAGCTGACTAACCGTTATTCCTTGGCTTAAGGTGAACTAGCATGCTGGCTAAACACAATCCTTCATACCCTTAAGTTTGTGCGTTCGGCTTGGGCATCACTTAATAATAATATCCATATTAAACTGGAGACTGTATTGCGTGTTATAAGTAGCTAACAGGTTGTGTGAAAGCAGCATCTCTGTTTGTCTGCTTTATAAGGCTAATGATGGTGTTTACAAACACGCTCGTGACTGCGCACTCTCTCGCGCGCGCACCTCCGCGCGGTGTGTTCACGAGCGTCCGGTCTGCGCAGTCATTACACATTTCCACACGCAGCTTCAACACACTGTTATTTTTACTACTGGCTGGAAGAGAAACATTATTACGGATAGTAAAGACGCTTTGTTAATGGTAAGTAGACTCAAATTAGTATAAATTTATGTTGTAATAGATCAACATTTACCAAGGTTTCTTAGTACTATTCTGTCTATTTCTTCAAATGGTCTGTTACACTATTTACAGTCAAACCATATAGCGCAGAATAATGGTCTTCTGAAATGGGCTGAGCTGCTTAAATGTATTCATCAATTAAACATAAATAATGTTTAAATAATACATTACATTTCTAACTTCGCTGTGGTTTAATTTCAGTAACGATGTCAAAACGTTAGAAATGCATTTTTAAAGGTAAATCATCTTAACCTTTTATTTTATTTTATCCCTAAGTTGTGTTAAATTCAGGAATTTTGTTCTTGATATCAAATCCTGTTATTCGTAAATTCACAGTTTTACGGATCCAGTAAATTTCCATTAGTGAATTTCATTAGTAACACTTGTGGAAATGAAGTGATGTCACTTTTTGGACTAGTTAAACCTATATGATAGTAAAATGTCAGGAAAAATATCAGAACCTAATTAAATGTAATAAACCATAATACATGTATTAAATGCTTTGGAAAAACAACATACACTTGTTATTTTAGGAAAATAAAGAATGCTCTAGAACCCCCTCCGCCCCCAGACCTCGCGCATCCACCCGCACAGGATTACGTAATACATTTAGCAGTTAGCTTTGAGCTATTTTATACAGCTAAGCGCTAAATTGCATAATAATATATTTTAGACAAAGCTGTTTCTCTAAAAAAATATAATAATGTGATGCTTAGGATATGCAGACGTGCACTGCGCAAAGGCTGCGCATAATTGACACACTAGAGTCCTAACCGCATGAGCCGGAAGTGTACTGACGAACTACCCCCGGAGGAGGTTAGTAACAGAAAAATATTAATATAACATACACATAAACCTGTTAACTTTGTCATACACTATATATTTACAAATAAATGTGTTATTTACGCGATAATACGATTAGTTTGTTAATATAACCTGAAACAGGTATTATATAGAACTTTTACGCAGCGAATGGCAGTAAAATTGTAAGCAAGCTTATCATATGCAACGTTACAGAATGGCGTTATGCAAGTTAAGGTTATATTTCAAATTATATTCGTTTCCTTTAAAAGCGTCTTTTTTATAAAGAGTAAATTGTAGTTCGTGAGTTATCAGTGGAGGAATTCGTGAAAAGCGTTAGCGAAGCTCGCGCCCCCTCATGATTAGTTGTTTATACACGCGCAGTTTTTATTTCCCTGATAATTTACCACATGAAGGCCCAATGTTGTTTTCAGGGGATGGAGGTGGACTGTAAGCCAGAGGATCTATCTAAGTGCTCGTACGATGAGCGCTGTGTGGAGCTGGGAGAGGTGAAGGACATGCGGCTGGAGGCTGAGGCGGTGGTCAATGATGTGCTCTTCGCTGTCTCAGACATGCACGTCTCTCATAATCTGAGCAGCGGGCTGGATGTGGCCTACATCAACGTGGAAACCAGAGAGGGAAACCGATACTGCTTGGAGCTCACCGAGGCTGGCTTAAGAGTGAGTTTAAAGTGACATAAACTCCTTGGGTAACACAAAGCAGAAGTTCTTTATAACACTAATTATAAATACATTGGTGGGATTCACAGGTTTTTATTTATTTTAATCTCCAACAAAATGTCAGTTTTTGCTATTTCTTATTCAGCTTTATCTCCACGACACGTTACATTGTGGAAGTTTGGTGAAGATCTGCTAAACTGTAAACAATAATACTAGCATTCACTGTATGGTCTTAAATGGTTAAGGTTAATTCACCTAAAATATTACAACTGACACTTTTCACAAGACTGTTATGACACGTTTAACAGTCATCTTAAACTTGAATCCTTGAAAGTTTTATTTTTTTTACATTTCTTTTAAAAGTATAAACATTTATAAATATATAATCTTTGCATCAAATTACAAAAAGCGAATTACCGCTATGTGAGGTGTTTCTAATGCAGTGTCTATAGGGCTGAGAGTAAATTTGACATTATTCTCTATTCTAGTTGCCGTCATCAGTTCCACTCATTTTTTTTTTTGCTTTTTCTGAAAGCTTTGATAATGCCATTGAGGAGTTTTTCTTTTATTAATTTAACAAATAGGATTGTAGTAAACTTGCACCCTGATCAGATGTGAAAGGCATATGCAACCAAAGTTTTTTTGTATGGTTTATTGGTGCATAAAAGTGTTCTTGGAGCTTCGTATGATTACAGTTGAACTACTGGAGTTACATGGAATGTGTTGGTAGTGTTGTTGTTGCTTTATGGACTTTGAACGTCTCTGGACCTTTGCTGTCTATCTATAGAAAGCCAGACAGCTCTCAGATTTCATCTAAATTATCTTTATTTGAGTTCCAAAGAAGAACAGGTCTAAGAGCATTGGAATGATATGAGGGTTAGTAATTAAAAATAATTTAAACCTTTACCTTACAACAGTCTAAAGTCTGTCATGATAGGAGATGGAAATGAGAACAATACCAGAGAGATTTCAGAATAACTAAAGACAAAAAAAAAAGAAAAAGAATATTAATAAGAGACAGAGGACCAAAATAACAAACAAGAAGTTTCTCAACTCAAAACAGAGTGATTTTTTTTACATATTAGAAAGTTCATACAAAATGAATGTTGTTAGAGCAGTCCTTAGTAAGATATACAAGATTTTATATAAAAGATGTTTACATTTCGTTTACAAAACGATTAAAATAACTCCCTGCAAAATACAGAAAGAAATTCCAAAAGTACAAGCATGAGACTCGTAAATAAACATAAAATATTAATAATAATAATAAAACATCAGGTAACCAAACACAGTATTAAGAACCAAGGTTAGACTTTTGCAAGGATTGTCTAAAATATTTTCAGCAATTATTTGTTTTGTGAACAATATATAAACATCTTTAATATAAAATATCTTACTCAGGACAATACTAAATATATATATATATATATATATATATATATATATATATATATATATATATATATATATATATATATATATATATTTTTTTTTTTTTTTTAAACATGCAATTTTTGACATACGCTCTTATTTTGTTAGTTATTCACATTTTCACAAATTCTTCAAGTGGTTCTCAAACTTTCAAGCAACACTGAATCTATTTTTTATTTCTGACATTAATTCAAGTCTTTCATTCACTTTTTCTACCTTTAACAAACAGTTAGTTTAAATTTAAAAAAAAACTATAATAGGTAAAACATATTTTTTATAGAAATTATTGGGGCATATTTTAGAGGCAATCATGTTATAATAATATCAAATGTAGTATTCATTAAAAAAAAAAAAACCTGACCATCGATGTTTGCAAATGTCGATTGTTTCTACTAGGGCTGTGCAATAAAATCAGTATCGATATTTATTGACCGAACACTATTGTCAATATATATATAAAGTTCAGTATGTAGTTTCAGTATGAAGCGCTATAGTTGTATTAAAATGTGGCTGCTGACTTGGAAGCAGTGCCAATAAGCTTGGGTGTAAGTTTGTTATTTCCAATGGAGGCATTTTCCAGCCACACCTAATTAAAAATACATCTGAACTTTTCCAAATACTGAAAGTGCACTGCAATTCATGCAAGTAGAACTTACCAATCTGCTTCACACTTTGTATTGAATATACGCATTTCAGTAATAACGGCAGACTAATTACCATAGACAAACACAGCACCCAAACACTGCAGTGCTTTTTTACTTTTCTCCATAAACTTGCATCGGAGCTGCAGCAATGTTTTGTCCCTTTGTCATCCTATGAGAAAATGGTTGATAGCCACCTAGTTACAAGACATGCCAGGGAAGCACAAGCCCAAAGTCTATTGTAAATGGTCAAGAAATCTACGCACCCGCGCTTGTCATTTCAGGTCAGAATAACAACACATGCGAAAATGAGTGCGGTGTCTAACAGCAGTGAAGAGATTGCAAATAAAAAAACATGTAAGGATATTGCCAGTGTGGCTTTTTGGTTTCTTTTCTAGTCCATCTCAGCCACTAGCACCCCATCTGAAAGATTTTTTAGCATAGGGGGTAATGTAGTCATTCAATTTCACAATTAGTAATGTTGCAATATGTGTTTGAATAATGATAGTTAGTTTAACTTAAAAGCTCAGATTTGATTATCATAATTTGTTTTGTTGACAGAGTTTGAGGTTTACTGTAGCATAATTAACACCTTAAACTGTGCTTTGATTTTCGCGCTTTACCACAGCACACACTTTGTAACTTTTTTTATAGTTTGAGTCTCTTTAACACTTGTGTTTTTTTATTATATATATATGTATATATATATATATATATATATATATATGTGTGTATATATATATATATGTATATATATATATATATATATATATATATATATATATATATATGTATATGTGTGTGTGTGTGTATATATATATATATATATATATATATATATATATATATATATATATATATATATATATGTGTATATGTGTATATGTATATATATGTATATGTATATATATATGTGTATGTATATATATATATATATATATATATATATATATATATATATATATATATATATATATATATATATGTATATTTATTATACATATACATTATTTACTATATATACTAATATTCCTAAGTTTATTGTTAAAAAAAACATTAATTATCTATATCAAATGATATAAAACATGACATTGTGATAATCTATTTGCAATATCGCTCAGTCCTAGTTTCTTCTACTATCTCTCTAAATTCTCCAAGTCTCAAACTTTCAAGTAACACTATAATTTTTCTAATGTTAATCCAAGTCTTTCATTCACTGTATTCTAAATAACCTTGCTCTGTTTCTACCTTTAACACTGTCAGTTAAAAAAAAAATTGTAAAACATATTTCTAGAAATAATTGGTGCGTATTTTAGAGGCAAACATTGTATAATACTATGAAATCCCCTCAAAATAATAATTCTCATTTAAACAAAATGTGGTATTCATTAAAAAAAGAGGTTAATACTTTTATGATGAACACTGATGTTTGCAAATGTGCATTGTAGATTGTTTTTACTGCTATCTCTCCTAAAGACATATGTTTGTTATTTCTTAGGTTGTGGGTCACACTTTTGATAAGGTCAATGATGGTTTGAGCAGCCAGTATCACGAGACTGTTTACTCTCTCCTGGATTCCCTCAGTCCAGGATACAGAGAAGCGTTTGGAAATGCACTGCTGCAGAGACTGGAGCGGCTCAAACAGAACGGACAGTGAGGCTTCAGTATCATTCACAATATCTGTGCTCGCCAACGGTTTGACCAAGTTCCACGCTTGCAGCATTCAGTAGTACCTTTTTCAGATTGTTTTAGCTTGTGAGATGTTTTTAACAGATCTTCTCGGTGTGGATTTGACAAACTGACTCGCCTGTGAGGTTTTTAAGTATTTTTAATTTTATTTACAGAGGTATCATTGATACAATTGATCAATACCAAGCATTTAATTGATCAATACTAAGCATTTTATTTAACATTTATGCAAGTGAAATAACCCTCAGAAATGCTGTTTTGAGGACTTGTTTGAACAAAAATCTTTTGTTAACATGCAAGTGCTCTAAATTTTGTATTAACTGGATTCCTCAAAGCATAGGTTTTCGAGCTCCATACTGTACACCCGAAGTATTATTATGAAAAACATATCAGATGCCTTACTACTTTCATTCAAATTTCTACATTTATCCAGTAAAGAGCATAGTCGTTGCCAGAAAATCCAGATACGTGCAGTTTCTCTTCCTTTTTGCTTGCTTTGATCATGCATCGAACTGTCTGTGAATGGAAGAATAGATCTGCTGCTTCATCGATTTCTTTCTCAGTCTGTCAAAATCAACAAAAAGAGCCAAAATGTGGTGGTAGTTTCCACCTTCTTCCATAAGATTATTGAGACATTTATCAGTTACATAAGAGGTGCATTTTAGCACCAACACACAAGCTTTATACTTTTATTGACTAAAGATTTGAGCGTACTCTTCTTCCTCGCAATTACATTATAAAGTGACCAGCATGTTCTTGCTTGACTTTGTGAAGAGAGGGATATGAACTATGGAAGATGATAATCCTACTATATCCGCAAGAGCAACGCACTTGTACTATCCAATACTGGCTATTTTATAATCTTTTTTTAAATAATTCTTTTTATTTTGTTGGCATGAACGATTTGAAGTTACGGAGAGCCACTGAATGACTGGTGAAATCTAAATGCGCGGAATTGCACTAAAGGAAATAAAGCAGCCATTTTTTGACTTTTTTTGATAGGGCTGCATAAAAAAGATGTTACATTCCGTTTCAGTTTAGAACAACAGGAAGATGCTAATTTCTACAAAAAGTTCTTTTCGAATGGGTTTCTACCTCATGTTGGGTTTTTATTTTGGCCTCTTCTGCATGCTGGGTTTGAATTAGGTATGTTGATGAAAAACCAAAGGGCCAATTCTGTTCATCTGCCCTGTTGCGTAATTTAGTGTGAAAAATCTCTGTCCCAAACTAAAATATCCTAATAATTCACAGAATGTTGGCTGAGACACATATGAGGAAAAGGAGTGTGAGAACGTGTTTCTATGACGTAAATGGCACAAATGACTTCTGTACCTGAAGAAATGTTGCTTGCTTTTGTTTCCTTGTAATAAAAAGCACACATTCTAATGTATTTTGGTTTGATGGCTCTTTTTCTAACTAATGGTCTTTTTATTGGAGATTTAGAGATTGTTTTTTAAGCAAACAAATTTGTTTTTCTTTACACTTTTTCTTTTTCGGTAAAATAACTGTCTAAGCGAGTTAATCAATGTAGTTTCATTTGATTTCAAATATATGTATATATTAGAAGTTCCCCTAAAAGAACATGTTGGTATACCTTGTCATGTTTAAATAATAAGAGTTCAGTTCATGGAAATGGCCATACCATGAGCTTCAGACACCATTGTTTCCTCATTCTCTATATGTTATTGATGTATATAATGGTACTGATCTGAGCTGGGCCATGTTGAGGCCCATAAAGTGATAGTGCAGTAGATTGTGCAGTCTTTATTAGAAATTTTCTGTTAAACATTTATGTATTTATAAATTTATTTCAGGAAAACAAATGCATCAACACTTCACTAATGGCAATAAAAACCACAGTGTCATCTGTCAGTCAGATGTCATGTCACTTCATGCTAAAACTGCCTCTTAGAAATGAAGTATGAAGTATTCAAACCTTATCTTCATGGTGGTATATAAAGCAGAGTAAAGCTGAAAATCGTCAAAGTGAAATGAGAGCGCTGAAGAAAGTCCAGTCATGATAAAGTTAAAAAGCAGTGTTGTTTTATCAAACTAAATACATTTTAAGAGTCTGCTATAATGCTGCTATGAGCAGTCTAATTAATAAAGCACACAACATGTTAAACCACCTTTGGTGTTTCCCTGTTTTCAATAAAACCAAATCAGAAATTGAGGTTGTGTGATGTCATTTTCTTAGCCACACAAAAAAACTGTTTGTGTCACCTAGTTAAATAATTGCATGTTACTTCAGATTTATACATTCTTTGAAAAATGTTGAATAATGGTAAGCCACTAAAATATATAACAGTTCAAGTTGTTTTTTAAATATTTTAATGAAAAAATGTGCTATTAAACATATATGGTGGGGAAAATAAGTATTGAACACTTCACCTTTTTTTCTAGGAAAACATTCTAAAGGTGCCTTTGACTTGAAATTTTCACCAGATGTTGTAAACAACACTGAAAAAAAATATTCAAAGATGATTCTTTGGATTTACTCAATTTTTGTGAAAAAAATGTTTGTTTGTAAACAATTAATATGGGGTGAATGTAAACAAACAAATTAAGTTGAACATTACTAAATTAAATTTGTTTGTTTACATTCAACACAAATAAATTGTTTGCAACAGTTCTGCAGACAAAAATTTTTTTCAGTGAACCAATCCACTTCTTTGCGATCCACATATGCAAAGAAAACAAAACTAGTTACACATGAGTTTAAACATGAAGTTATGCATAATAAAATTAAATGGTGCAGAGAAAAAGTATAGAACACACGAAGAAAGGGAGGTGTAGAAAAGCAGTGAAATCCCAGACAGCAGCTGAAATCTCTCAGTAGTTCCTCAGCAACCCTATGCTTTTATTGTCTAACATCTACATTTTCAGGATGATTAAGATGAAACCAGGGTGGACATTTTAGCAAGACTATGACCCAAAACACAGCAAAGGAAAATCTTAAATGCTTTCAGAGAAATAATATAAAGCTGTAGAATGGCCCATTCAATCATCTGACTCGAATCCAATTGAAAATACAAAATAAAGATCAGATTTGACAGACGAGACTCACAGAACCATCAAGATTTTTAAACTCTATTGTGATGTTTACAATCTGTTTAAGTCTGTGGAAAAACTTACACCTAGCAATTCATTTGACTTCATTCTCCATATGAGAGGCATCTTTAAGCTGCCATTACCAAAAAAGCATTTTATATAAAGTATTGAATACATTTCAGTAGTTCAGTACTTTCTACTTGTCATTTCAGTATTACACTAATTTTTCTGATTTTTTTTGTTTTATTTTTATGTGTGTATTGTTTGGGTTTTAACCAAAAAGTGTTTCAATTCCATCTCATCAGCTCCTTTAGAAATATTATACCCTGGAAAAAACATGACATGTTCAATACTTATTTCCCCAGCGGTATGTGTTTATGGCTGCTTTCCAAGCACTGCTTCTTGAAGCTTTGAAAAGCTTTGTTTTTCCCATTGCTAATTGAAATACCAGCTAACAAATGAACCAACAGCAACAGAAGGCTGGGTAAATGATGATGAAAATCAGCCAAAATATGAACATTTATACTTAATTTAAAATAAGAGTAGAAAACAAACATTCAAAGTTTTTATCTTAAATTTGAAAGAAATGTCATCAGTAATTCACAACAAACAGAAGAAAAAAAACTATTTACCAAAAAAAAAAAAAGCTCAGGTAATCATTCAAAGAAATGTGGATTAGAAACAAAAGAAGCAGCCACACAGCAGCTAGAGCTTCAGATCACCTCTGCTTATCAACCCGGTCAATCATTGATGCAATTTTAGCAACAAAAAAATTTGTCAATGCTTGTACAGTGACTATATAGTTAAAGAGAAGACATTAAAATAAAATGACAAATCTGTCTTGGTTTGAAAATGTAATTTTATTATCATAAAATCTGAATCTATAAGAAATCTAAAACCTGCTCAGGCAATCTTTCAGATACTTCTGTTAATAATCGTATCCTGCATTTCATCCTGGCTTCTGTGTTGATTTTCAGTTTACAATCTGAACAGGGAACTTGATGCAAAATAAATCTTTGCTGGAGTCGTCTCTTAGTTCCCATTCCACAACCACTTTTATCTAATAAACAAAAATAAATATTTAAGTGAAGATATACAACATTACAGACTTGCTTAGAACTAGAGAAGAAGCTTTAACACTTACTGCTGGATACTCAGTCTTGACTGGCAGCTCGGTGACGTAGTTGTAAGGTTTCTGTGGAACAATCGGACACTGAATCCCAGATTTGCACCCATCGTCAATTGGAATAGGGAAGGGGACAGGGACACATTCAACTACTCCATGAACCACAGCTTTACTGGTCTGACTTGCAACACCTATGGAAATAAGAGGGTTAATAGTTAATTTTCTAAATGAAGATTTATTTGAACATTTAAAGGACATAATAAAGCAACTTACTGCTGATGAAGGTTACATTAACGGTGTAGGACTGTCCTTTGTGAAGCTGGCAGGGCTGTTGGGAGCAGGGCTTGATGTCAACCTGAACTACTTTCCCATGTACTGAGCCTTTAAGGGAGAAAACAAGGTAGAAATATAATTTTTAAAGATAATAAATGTAATTAAACCTAGAGAAAAATAATACAGATAATGCAAATTGTTAAATAAACAAACTTGATAAAATAAAGACTTACCACAGTCCACAAATTTGACCGGATCAGCACAAGTGTATGCAAGAAAGGAAAGTAAAATAACGGCAAGCACTCGGTAGTCCATGGCTCAAATGAATGCTGTCGAAGACCAACAAGCTAGTTTACTGACAGTCCAAACAAAAAAATTTATCCAGTGACAGTGAATCTAAGCATACACTTCCTCATTGACATAATTTCAAAGTAACAGAAAAAAGGAACGTTATTGTGTTTTTGTCACAAGATCAGTGTCAGTGTGTGATGTTATAGCATTGCCACACAGGACATGGTCTATGTCACTAGATAAAACTGCTTGTTTTGCTGGATTTGCACATTTGCAGTAATGTAAGTCAGCAAAAATATATACAGTAGTTCTAGTGGTTTTTGAATATCCTAATGAAAACAGCTCATACACTGATTTTTAATAATAGTTTCCACCTGAACCAATTATTATTTTACAAATAATCATTCTCAAATAGTCCCTATCATGGATCACCACAGTGGAATAAACCACTAACTATTCCAGCATATGTTTTACGCAGCAGATGCCCTTCCAGCCAGATCCGAGTACTGGGAAACACCCATACACTCTCTCACATTCACACACACACACTCATACACACATATGATATATATAATTTATTTATTTTTACATAATGTTAAATTTTTTACCATGATTAAAGAATATTCAAAAATGTCCCGCATGGACATCACATTAAGTATCACAATTTTGTTCTCCATTTTAGACAAATCAGCAAGAAGAGAATCTCTAATGAGGATGATGAAGACCTGGGCCCAGTTTTTCAAAAGGTTTAATCCGGATAAAATTGATCCGGATTAAGTAATTCTGTTTTTGCAATCCGTGATTACGTAATTCAGCTTACTTTTTGAGCCAGTTTTTCAAAGCAACATTGGATTGGAATCATTCTGATCCAGATAGGAACTTTTCAGGATCACTAAATCTGGATTACCAGTGCTCAATCACAATGTTGGAAAGAGGCCTATGTAAAGAGCAACAAGAAGAATAGCCAGTGTGGGGTAAATATAAATTTATTTTTATTTGAAATGAAAACTAAGAAAATTTTATAAATAATAAAATAATTATAATAATAAATAATAAAAGCAAGAAAACCCCACCCCATCCTCTTACAGCAGTCCGCTCATCTGAGATCTACAACACTGTACATTGAGGATATTTAAGATAAGTTTCAAATATAGATGTATTGAATAAAAAAAAAACAATGTTGAAACCTCCACAATAATGTCCGACTTTCTGAGCGTATTCTTTAGGAGGAAGATTTCAAGTCCAGATGATCCAAATCCTACAAAAAAGGTCTGAAAAACCCAAACTAAAGATTTGATCTGGATCAAAAACAAGATTGGATTACGTGATCTAATCCGATTATAATCTGTTTTTTCTTTTGAAAAACCCATTTTCAAGATTTGATCCAATCCCTTATCCAAAATCCTAGTGGATTACTTTTGAAAAACCGGGCCCTGGTGGTTGAGACAGAGGAAACAGGCCCCTCAGAGGATCAAAATCCCACATCCACTTGATTTCTACTCTGTGGCAGTACTACAATGTACACCATGTCATCCATAGTTTAATATTTGCATTATTTATATGACAAAAATAATTCATTCTAATAGCTTATTGTAGGATAGGCGAAGCAATGGGTAGGATAGGCGAAGTAGGTAGTGCTGTCGCCTCACAGCAAGAAGGTCGATGGGTCGCTGGTTCGAGCCTCGGCTCAGTGTGTGTGTGTGTGCGTGTGTGTTTGGATCTCCCCCAGAGATGGGTTGCGGCTGGAAGGGCATCCGCTGCATAAAAACTTGCTGGATAAGATGGTGGTTCATTCCGCTGTGGCGACCCCGGATTAATAAAGGGACTAAGCCGACAAAAAATGAATGAATGAATAAATATTGAAGGATAACAAGAGTCAAATTTCTTTAGTTTTCTTCGTTTATGCTTTTCTAGACATTCAACCCACATTTGTTCAGAGCAGTAATTTCTGAACATGGCAAAACTGGGCTCTTGTGAAACATTTCGAAAAAAAAACATTGCTGACTCTGATTTAAAGTGCACAGATCAATGTGGGGTCCTTGGGTCTGGAGAATCACTAAACACCACCCCTGATAAGTTCTGTCTACATGGCCTGTCTAAACTATCCAAATATTAAGATGTTTTGGGCCTTGAACATCAGAATTCAAATAGTGGCAGAATCCATGACCACTTCTACAAAATAAGAAATTTCATCAAGATCATATTTCATTAAGGTTCCATTTCACATGTAATGCATTCCGATGCTCAATTCAATTCATGTTTATTTCTAATTCATGTTTTTTTTAGTGCTTTTACAATGTGGATTGTTTTGAAGCAGCTTAACATAGAAGTTCTATTTAATTGAAATTCAGTCCAGATTTTAGAGTAACAGTTAGGTTTAATTCAGTTCTGTGTGGTTTAAATTTCACTGCTGAAAGTACAAATACTGAAGAGCAAATCCATCGATGGGCAGCTCCACAAGTCCCAAATGATGTTTACTGTAGTAGACATCAAATATGTTTTTTCAACAAATGTTTTTAACAATACGCTCGTTGCCTGTCAACCAATTGGGGAAGTTAAGAATAAAAGCAATTGGGCAAATATTTTTTTTCTGGAATTAAGGAGGAAGTATTTTCCAGTAAAATTTATTTAAGCCTTTCTGCAAAGATGAACAAGAAACACACAAATGCTGTTACAAAGTTTGCTGTATACATGTTTAACACAATGGACTGTTTCTGCATGTCTACACACGGCAAATGTGACAGGATACAAGTAAACACACACCGCAGTATGGATATTCATTATGCTTCTGTACAAAATAAACCAGAGTTAACATCCACAAATTTAACTCCTTTTGTGGGTTTGAAGAGTCCTCCTTTATAGTTGTACTAACACTGTGGCTGTGGTGATTCCAGCAGTTATGAATTATATTGCGATTTTACTATATAATTTTCTATGTTAATATATTTACTGTGTTTATTTATATTTTTATATAAATAATATTTACATTTGTATTTTACAAACATGCACTGCTTAAAAAATATTTTAAACTTGTACAACTCAGTCTTGGGATGCAGCTAATCACAGAGAGTTGAAACATCTTTTAATGTCAGTTTCTTTGCAAACCCTGTCTTGTCGACATGAATATACACATTAATACCGAGATCAAGTACACTCAAAAAATTATATTTGCTGTTTGTTCAAACTACTTATTTTACAGTTTTTTTACAATGGCTATGACACTTTTTTCAATACATTTAACAAGTTTGCTAAACTCTTAACGCAGCAACACACCTAAAATACACAATTGGCAAAACAGTTAATTTTATGCTCAAAATCAAACATTATAAACTAAACCTCTAAACTACTTTTCAAAATACAATAATAAACGAACACACTACACTATGTCTAACAAAACACTGCAATCATGTTTCAAAAAGAAATTATTGTTCAAAACACAAACACATGTTCTCTTCCAACATAACCATTTAGTCAATCAGAACACACTGACAATAAAAACACTATCATCAGCTGACATTACAGAAACTCCATTAGTTTATGTGTCAGCTCTGCCCTTATATTTGAAGTCTCGTTACAGTTTTGTTTTGTTGGGTTAAGTAAACGCATGCATTTTCTTTCGTTTACGGCAAAAATTCTATACAAAGCGTAGAAAAAAAATTGCTTTATAAAATTTACAGTTTATGTAAAAAAAAGAATTTCTGCAGTACAGACTTTTTTTGCAGAAAGACATCACTGCAAACAGAAAAAGCACCACAATTATAATAAAATAACAAAGTAATCTTCTTTTCTGCCCGGTCTTTTGCCACATGTTCTCATCCACATTATACTTGATATCTTCTGTGGCCCGGCACGGTAACTGTGGCCCTTTGGTCTATTATGTTTTTCCTATGGCGACATCCCCAGCCTTGTCAACATTGAAAATTTCATGTGGTACTTGATTGGGCTTTTACTTCATGACTCTCTGAAAGTAATTAGACACAGTGTATGCAAATGCTGTACTGTATATGTACTGTACTAATGAACTCCAGGTTTAAAGAGTAGTTTACTGCAAAACACACTGTGTAAAGTACAGTAATGACTGTATTACATAATCTTACATGGACGTATGGGTGACACAGTTCTTTGATGTGCTCACTGTTCTTTCCAAAAACCTCTAGAGTCCTCTATTAGAACATATGATCATGTGATTGGAAAAACCAAAACAAGACATGAGTGTGCTTTCTAGATGGGAAACAGCTGTCATATATATATATATATTTTTTTTTCAGTTGCCAATGAGAAACAGCATATTGCGGCTATATAAACAAATAAAGAAATATATATATATATATATATATATATATATATATATATATATATATATATATATATATATATATATATATATATATATATTTATTTATTTATTTATTTATATAACCACAATATGCTGTTTCTCATTGGCAATTGAATAAAATACAGGGAATAAACTTGTGTTTCAATTCACAATTAGAAAAGCTGTTCACTTTGACTTTATCCTATATAATTTCTGTTTAGAACAAGGTGTTATCTGTTCTGACATACTGTGTTAAAGCATTTGTAAATTTGACTGTAAAATTACGTTGTTTTGTTCTTGGTTGTGCTTGTGTGTAAAAGAAGTTAAAGCATTTTAAATTGGTGTTAACTGGATGCCTTTTGCGTCAAAGCAACAAGAAATGTGTTAATTGTATAGCCCACGAAGACGGATGTTGTGCTAACTGTGTTAAGAGTTTAGGAAACTTGTTAAATGTATTGATAAAAGTGTCATAGCAATTGTAAAAAACTGTAAATGAGCTAAAACAACACACTTCTCAAGTTTTTTGGGGGACAATGTATTTGTTTTATATTCAATCCATTAAATTTGTAAAATCTATTGTTGCCTTAATTCCTTCATGATGTAGCAACACAAATCATTTGCGTGGAACCCAGCATTTTACAGTGTAATAAATGCCTGTCAATCAATTCAGCAGCTGGGGAAAACCATACTTGGTGTTTGTCATGGTGTGGTAGATCACAAAAATCGCTGGGATTTGGATGAT